GCTCCATTACTAGCTCATGCTTGCATGTACACGCAAGTATGAGTGCACACATATGTGCGCACACACAGTAAATACATTGTGTTTTACAAAGAATAGGAAAAAGTAAATGTCTCATTATTGAAAGCACAGTTAGCATCTTAGCGTGCTTTTTAATCTTCTTTTTTTTTTTCAAAATTGTAGTAAAGAGGGAGCTGGGAAGGTGGCTCAGTGGTAGAGTGCTTGCCTTGCATGCATGAGGCCCTGGGTTCCATTCCTTAGCACCACATAAGCAGAAAGAAATGGAAGTGGCCCTGTGGCTCAAGTGGTAGAGCACTAGCCTTGAGCTGAGGAGCTGAGGGACAGCGCCCATGCCCAGTACATGAAGAATGCCCATGCTTCATGAAGAATACTCTTAAAAGGAACTTTTCTCATCAAACATTTTCTGTTCTTAAATGGGATCTCCACAGTTGTGTTTCAAGGCTGCAGGTATTTGCTGGGACTGGCAGAGCAGTCTGACCCAGAGTCAGTGCCAGCCCGCCCTCTTCTACCATCAGCCAGCCTGCCCTAATCAGTGTCCTGGGAACCAGGATTGCTATGCAGACTGGGCCTAACCTGGAAACCTCAGGACCTGTCACAGGGCCTGCCCAAGTGCACTGCACCCACACTTGAGACTGGCTCACACCCACAGAGTTTATCATGGGGCATGGACTCAGTGTCACAGCAGAGTACACCCTCAGGCAGTCAGACTCAGGACTTCAGATTCTTGGAAAGTTCTGCTCCGGATGTCAGAGAGATGTGGCTGAGGGACAGTTTCCTTCTCACTTTTCTGCACCATTTCCTGGCAAGTGTCTCTCTCTTCCAGAAGCCTCTGAACCTCACTTCATTACTTAAGACACTCCAAGATGGAGACAGCCCCTGGGCTTTGGCCCCTAGCCTTGTAGATTACCAACGGGCTCTATGACCACCCAACCCCACCTCACCCCTTATCTGTTTCCTCATCTGAAAAGTGAGCATGATAATCATTCATACTTCAAGGGTTTGCTAAGAGGTTCAAATGGACCTGCTGCTGAGTACCAGGTATGCAGTTAAGGCTCCATGATGGTAGCTGTTCAAGAAACATTCTCCATCTAGACAGCTGGTAAGGGAAGGTGTGCAGCAGGTAAACAGAGACCAGGAGGCCACTCAGGAAGGACTAGTAGGAGTAATACCAACTTACATATAAACTCTTGAGATGAAGCTGTGTGACACCAACCATGGTGCGGAGCAGGGGTCTCCCACACCCCTTTCTCTTTCATCTGAAAATGCAGAATAATGCTGACACCTACCATGTAGTCCAGTAGTGGTATTCCAGTGTGATCAGACACCAAATGCTAAAACTGGAAGCGAATCCTCATGGAAATTATGGGTTTATGGTAAAAATGATATCTAAAGGGAGGTTCATTGAGTGCGACTAATGTACTGCTCCGATGTGGGGTGTTATTAGTGGGTGAGTTCTGGGGGATGGACCAGATTTCTAGAGAAAATCTCTGTACTTCCTGTTCAATTTTGTCATGAACCTAAAACCGCTCTTAAAATATTGTGTGTGGGCTGGGGAGGTACATGTTCATGTGTAGAGTATCTCCTCAGCACAGGGAAGGCACTACCAAAACAAACAAACAAACAAACAAAAAGCTGGGCATCAGAGGCTCATGCCTATAACCCTGTCCACTCAGGAGGTTGAGAGTTGAGGATCTTGGTTCAAAGCCAGCCCAGAAGGGCTGGGAAGGTGGCTCAGTGGTAGTGTTTGCCTTGCATACATGAGGCCCTGGGTTCCATTCCTCAGCACCACATAAGCAGAAAAAGCCGGAAGTGGTACTGTGGCTCAAGTGATAGAAAACTAGCCTTGAGCTGACGAGCTGAGGGACAGTGCCCAGGCCCAGAGTTCAGGCCCCACACTGACGACAAAAACAACAGCAGCAGCAGCAACAAAAAGCCAGCCCAGAGAGAAAAGTCCATGAGACTCTTATCTTCAATTAACCAGCAAAAATCCAGAAGTGGAGCTGTGGCTCAGGTAGTAGAGGAACAGCTTTGAGCACTAAGGGACAGTGCCCAGGCCCTGAGTTCAAGCCTCAGTTCAAGCACAAGAAAAAAAGAAAAGAAGAGAAAAGCAAAGGAAAAAAATTTAATACAAAACAAAAAAGTTTCAAGCCCATGAGGCTTGACGCAGTAAATACTACGCTATAAACCAGTCTCCAATGTATAATGGAAGGGAAAATTCAACTTTTGGTAGTAGCTAAAAAGAAAAGAAAGACACATGTAAGGGGAAGCAAGTGGCTCCCCTGAGTATTAGAACATGCCTGTCTTCCACTTGGGAGCCCTCTCCTAATGCATCTGGAGGGCAGGCCCGGAGGCCAATGGAGCCACTCCTGCCTTAGTATAGTGTTCCATAACAAGCACCTGACATGTGCGTGGCGCGAGGCCAGCTTTTCCTCAGGCTCTTTGATCTGGAAAGCAACTGTGAGTAATCTGGGCCCTAGGAGCAGAAAACTTTTATCAGCAGGCCTGTCCCCAAGTGCCAGAAAGGCCCTCCATCTGCCCGGGCAGTCATGCCTCTGATTGCCCTATTTTTAGACAGAGGCTTTCTTCCCAGGGTTGTGCTTCTGACAAAAGAGCAGACCAAATCTGTCCTGAGATTGCCAGTGAAGATCACGTCACTTTCACTCATTCTGTGCAAGTTTGTGGACCACTCCGCAAAGCACTGAGAGAATGTGACACTAGCTCCTTCACCAACTTGGGAACCCAGTATAACAGGGCTTTACGTAATAGAAAGGGGATATAAGACATTGCAATGCCTGCTTAAACAAAAGCAACATTTCAGTATCATTTGAGGTCAGTAAAAAGCCATCTGGGGAGGCTTGGGGATATGTCTCAATGGAAGAGTATGTAGCTAGTATGTGCAAGGCCCTGGGTTCAAACCCGACCACAGCAAAAATGTATTTTAATTATAAGCTAGTTTTGCATATATCTGCATGGAAGATATTAGCTTTCTACTTGGTATGTTTCTGTGGTTGTGAGAAAAATAAATTATAAATCAGCTTAAAGGAGAAAAGGTTGTTTTTTGGGGAGGGGGTGTTTTTAATTTTTTTTTTTTTTTTTTGTCCATTGTAGGGCTTGCATACTGCCTGGAACTGTCCCTGAGCCCTCTTTGCTCAAGACTAGCACTCTACCACTTTTGAGCCATAATGTCACTTCCAGTTTTTGGAAGTTCAAAGCCAGCCCTGTGATCCTCATATCTCAGCCTCCTGAGTAGTTGGGATCGCAAGCATGAGTTTCCAGTGCCTGGCTGAGAAAACTTTTGTTTTGGCTTACAGTTTCTGAGGTTTCAGTCCATAGTCACCTGGCTCCATAGTGTTAAGCCTGTGATAAGGCACAATACAGTAGTTCAGCTGGAAAGCAAAAATAATGAGAGGCCAGGCACTGAAGACCAAGGTTTAAAGCCAGCAGAGGCAAACAAATCTGTGAGATTCTTATTTCCAATTAACCACAAAAAGCCAAAAGTGAGCCAAGTGGCGGTGGCTCACGCATGTAATCCTTCCTAGCTACTTAGGAAGCTGAGATCTGAGCATCAAGGTTCAAAGCCGGCCTGAGAAGAAAAGTCCGTGAGACTCTTATCTACAATGAACCACTCAGAAAATCAGAAGTGGCACTGTGGCTTAAGTGGTAGAGTGCTAGCCTTGAGCTGAAGAGCTGAGGGACAGCGCCCAGGCCCAGAGTTCAAGCCTCATGACCGGGGGTGTAGGGGGGGAGAAGCGGGCAGGGGAGGGGGGAGCCAAAAGTGGAGGTGTGGCTTGAGTGATACAGCACCAACATTAAGCGAAAATGTTAAGTGAAAGGAAGATCCCCTAGTTCAAGCCCCAGAATCCTACTCAGCCTGATATGAGGAATGCTTCAGTTTGTAAGACCCAGATTAGCCTGTGTAACATGCAAGATCTCATCTCAAAGCAAACAAACAACAACAAAAGTCTTCAAACATTACCAACTGTTACCTAGAGGGATAAAATAGCCACTATTTAAGAAGCAAAGTCAGAGGCTGATAAACTGGATACCTCATTGCAATGCTACATTAACGGTGACAGAGCCATGAAGTCACTCTAATAAAAGTCTGATCTGTGTTCTCATACAGTTAATTGGATTCTCTTCCAGGGCTGAGCTGCTGAAGACAATGATTCTGAGCAAAGTAGCTTCAACAATGAACAGTGCAACATAACCCAAGCTCTGAGAGAATTCCATCATTCTAGCGGTGCAGAACTAGAGGAAGAATGAGCCCCAGTGAGAGCTTGGGTGTGAGGGAAAGGAAGCGAGGGAAATGGGTCTTCATAGAATCTGCCTCAGACTCTAGAGGGTGGTACACTCCCAGACCGACTTCTTAATAGGCTGGGACTAGGCTTGCCTCAGAAAAACTAAGACATGGTGCCCAGACTCTGAGTTCAAGCCCTACTAACAACACAAAAATAACTAAGTAACTGGGAGAGAACATGGGAAGGAATGACATTGTCCAAAAGAAATGTATTCGTTACCTAACTTATTTAACTGTAAGCTCTCTGTAAGGTGATGACCTTTAAAATAGCAATTAAAAAATTTAAATAACTAAACGTATTTACCTATGCTCAGTTAAATGATGGACCCTTTTCACTTTCCTCATTTCACCTCTGTGCAATGTCTCAGTATTTTGGGGGGGGAAAAAAGTGTACTTATTTTCAGTTCAAAATGAAAAAAAAAAAGAGAGATAAGGGGAATTAGGACTTAGGTGATTAAGGAAAGAATGTGAGTCAGACATGGCCTCTCAGACCCTGCCTGTTGGCTAGATCTGTCACCCCACACTCAAGTTGCTATCAGGAGCACTTTTCCCTGTCAAAGTGACTGGCTTTTGTCACACGATCCCCAGGTTATAAAAGGAAGGTAGGATGGGTCCTAGAGCAGTGAGCAGAACCAGGTCTACTCTCAGGGTGAATCAGTGGATAGGGGCCACCAAGCAGCTCTACATGGGAAACACCATCAAAGCCCTCGTGGCCTTCATCCCCGCTGACCGCTGCCAGAACTACGTAGTTGGAGACCTCTGGGAAATGCCACTGGACAAGATGGTGGATCTCAGTGGAAGCCAGTTACGTCGCTTCCCTGTGCATGTGTGCACCTTCACAGAGCTGGTCAAGCTCTATCTGAGCGACAACCATCTCAACAGCCTCCCTCCAGAGCTGGGACAGCTACAGAACCTGCAGATCCTGGCTTTGGATTTCAACAACTTTAAGGCTCTGCCCCAGGTGGTGTGTACCTTGAAACAGCTCTGCATCCTCTACCTGGGCAACAATAAGCTCTGCGACCTCCCAGATGAGCTAAGCCTGCTCCAGAATCTCCAAACCCTGTGGATCGAGGCCAACTGTCTGACCCACCTGCCAAATGTGGTGTGTGAGCTGAGCCTCCTTAAGACCCTGCATGCAGGTTCCAATGCCCTGCGTCTGTTGCCAGGTCAACTCAGGCGTCTCCGTGAGTTGAGGACCATCTGGCTGTCAGGCAACCTGCTGAGTGACTTCCCCCCTGTGCTGTTGCACATGCCCTTCCTGGAAGTCATCGATGTGGACCGGAACAGCATCCGTTACTTTCCCAGCCTGGCCCACTTGTCAAATCTGAAGCTGGTCATTTATGATCACAATCCTTGCCGGAATGCACCAAAGGTGGCCAAAGGTGTGCGGCGAGTGGGAAGATGGGCAGAAGAGACACCAGAGCCTGATCCCAGAAAAGCCAGGCGCTATGCACTAACCATGGAAGGAAATGAGGAGCCGCGGGCATCTGCCTCCACTCCACGGCTTCTCCCTACAAGCTCTTGAATAGCGTTAGTCGTAGGTCAATGCTGAAGCCGCAACTCCAGCATGTTCAGAAGACCTCTCCTGTACTGGAAGGGATTGTTCTGGGTCATTTGAGGGACTAATAGTGAGATGAAATGTCATAAAGAAACAGGACTTTAGTGTTTCTTCTAAAGGGAAATGTTACCAGTGGTCTAGCAACCCAGAGTGGCTATAACTATAAACAGCCTCTAGAAGCAATTATTTTCAACACTTAAGAGCAAGACACTTTGGCCTCCTCTACACCCCAGAAATAGCTGGTCATGAGCTTGTGAGCTCCTCAAGTAAGGTATTTGTTAAAGAATCCATTAAATGTTCTGTTGGCCTGTTCCTTTGTGACAGACATTTTCTTAGCTATGAACTACTACCAATAGTACTGACTGATATACTAAGTCATGTCATTGAAAAGGACAATTTTACCTAGTTAATCAGATCCATAGAAAACTATGTGAAAAAAAAAAAACTACTGCAAAATTATTGCAAAGGCTCAACATGAAACTTTTCCCAGCAGTTTACAGCCACTGCTGAAAAGACCCCCAAGGGGTAGAGAATGACTTTTGGTAGAGTGCCACATTAAACTTAACAGTGGTTCATTTTTGCCAAAAAGGTTTCCCCAAGTCTACTCCCAGTTTTCTGTCAATGATAGTCTTAGAAGATTTGTGGAAAGTGGAGCCTCTCTTCCTTCTGCAATGCAGCCTTGTGATTGCTGGCTACCTCCCAGAGCAGGCACCTTCTGCTTATTCACGCTAATGAACCAGAACTGAATGGAATCTCTGTAGCTGGGAGGAAAACCACATATTCAGAATCATACTAGGTTAAAGGAGTAGGTGAGAAATCTGTTCACTTGAAGCAAGCACTTTGGAATTTGAAGGTTATAAAGGTCTATGGGAAATTTACCTTTTTAGATTCTATAGGTAAGCTTCTATTCTATATGATTTTTGTGTGTAAGAGTCTTTGAACAACCAGTATGAGTTTAGATATATTCACCATTATTTTTTAAGGTATGCAAATTGTGACCTTCCCACAAAAATATGCAAGCTTTAAAGAAACTGCTGTCAATGGGTGACTTAATCTTTTCATAAAATGACAAGTGTTCTTAACTAAAACCATACTGACCTTAAAGAAGTGTTTTTTCCATAAAAACCATCTTATCAAAGTTTGGTTCCAAAACTTTGGCTGGGGGGAAGGCGGGCAGTGGGACTCAAGTAGGTACAACACATGTCTTGGAAGTACAAGGCCCTTAGTTCAAATCCCAGTACTGTCACACACACACACACAAAATAACAAAGCAGACTAATTTCATGTGTTTTCTTATCAGAGGTTTCTTGGTATCCCATAATTCCTCCCCATTACCACTCATGTGTAGAGCATGTACAATCCATTGATTAGACTGCCAAAAGGCTCATTTAATCACTAAATGTAATGTTTATATTTGTATGTTTATATAGCTAAGATTAGTCTATTTTCATATTGCTAATGATTGAAACCAATAGGACTTATAGTGTATTTTCATATTGAATTGCTCATGACTGAAATCAAGTTCTTGCCAGCAAGATACAGGTGGACCCACTGTAACAATGGGATGTACAAAACACCATGTTGAAAATGAACTTTACAACTTCGGCAGGGGTGGGGGGGTGTAGTTGTGGAGGTGGGAAGGGATAGTAGGGGGAAAACAAAGGAGGCAACGATGCTCAATAGGAAATGTACTTGTTACCTTGCTCATGTAACTGTAACCGCTCTGTACAGCATTTTTACACTAAAAAATGTACAACAACAAAAAAAACTTCATCCTAAAACCATTATAAGATTTCACTTACCTCTGAAGTTTTAAACGTTTTAAAAATATCCATGGACTTGGGGGTCTTTCTACACCTAAATTCAACATTATCTGTCAGAGCTTCCTTCAAAGGCTATGAAGTAAAAAAGGAAAAACAGTTGGACTGCAGGTTTATCTCAGTGGCTAAGAGCACTTGCCTAGTATGCCAAGTGCCTTTGGTTCAAATCCCAGCACTACAGAGTAATAGGGGAAGGGTAAAGACATCATACACAAAAATTAAGCTCCCACATTTCTCTTTTTAGGCTGAAGTTTTATGTGATGGTTCTAAACTTTTTTCCTTGGTGCTGGTAAGTAGGGCTTGAGCTCTAAGCCTGAGTTCTGTCCCTTACTTAGCTTTTTCATTCAAGGCTGGTGCTCTACCACTTAAAGCCACAGCTCAACTTCCAGCTCATTGGCCATTAATTGGAGATGTCTTACACTTTTCTGCCAGGACTGGCTTCAAACCACAATCCTCAGATCTCAGCCTCCAGAGTAGACAGGATTACAGGACAAACATACCCACCTCTCCACTGAAAGCTCTCAAGGTTTTGTCATGTCCTATTCATCTGCTTTACCTATCTCAACAGTTTCAATTTGCAACTTCTCAATCAACTGATAAGTTTGACAAAGCACTTCCACACAGCAGATGCTACTGCTATATTAATGTTGTTAAAAGTAAAATATCAATGTTGCTGAAACAATTCTCTTGATAAATCATGAAACATTTCTCTTAAGTGAACACTGGAGGATATAAACCAGTTTCACAATGAATACCAAGTTTTCCCATTAAAAAAAACTTTACATAACAAAATACTGACAAACTTACATACACTGATACATCAGTGCAAATCCTTGAAAATAGAACATCCCTTCAGACTCATTAAAAACTTATAAGCTAGGCTTCCTTATTCCTTGAAGCATTCTGTAAGATGCAGATGCATGGATAACTTGCAAATCTTGTCACACTTAACACAAATTCACTATATATCCATTTTTATTTTCTAACCGATTTACATTAAGAAAAAAAATCAATCAAGACCTTAAACTGGGAACTGATGGCTCACACCTGTAGTCCTAGCTCCTTGGAATGAGGACTGAGGATAGCAGTTCAAAGCCAGCCTAGGCAGAAAAGTCTCCATGAGACTCCTACCTCCAATTAACCATTCAAAAACCAGAAATGGAACTGTGGCTCCAAGTGGTAGAGCGCTAGCTTTAAGCAAAACAGCTCAGGAACAGTGCCCAGGCCCTGAGTTCAAGCCCAACACTGACCAAAAAAAAAAAGAGATCTTCTTTAGGACTCATTGTACTAAGTATTGGAGATGGAATAATACATGGAATATGGCTGCTTCAAACTTGAAATCATTTTTCCAATTAACTTTAATTTTGTAAAACTCTATCAATACTACAGTAATTTCACTACACAAAACTAAATGGAGGCTGGGAATGTGGCTTAGTGAGAGTGAGTGCTTGCCTAGCACGCATGAAGCCATGGGTTCAATTTCTCAGTACTATATAAACAGAAAAGGCTGGAAGTGGTGCGGTGGCTAAGGTGGTAGGGTGCTAGCCTTGAGCAAAAGAAGCCAAGGGACAGTGCCCAGGCAAAATTCAAGCCCCAAGACTGGCAAAAAAAGGGAAGAAACAGGCACCCCTTGCTACTCTGGCTGAGATCTAGAAATCTCAATTCAAAGCCAGCTGGTGCAGCAAAGCCCACAGAGACTTTGTTTTCGGTTGGTCATGGGGCTTGAACTCTGGGTTTGGGTGCTGTTCCTCAGCTCTTCAGCTCAAGGCGAGCTCTCTACCAGTTGAGCCACAGCACTACTTCCAGATTTCTAGTGGTTTATTTAAGAGTCTTATGAACTTTCCTGCAGGCTGGCTTTGAACCATGATCCTCAGATCTCAGCCTCCTGAGTAGCTAGAACCACAAAGACTTTTATCGCCAATAACTACCAGAAAGCTGGAAATGGAGTTGTGGTTTAAGTAGTAGAGCATATCCATGAGCAAAAAAGCCTGTCAGGGTCAGTAGCCTGTGCACGCATACGTGCACGCACGCACGTGCGCACACACATACACACACACTCACTAAATGAATAGTAAAGCTATGCATGATTGAGTATATATATGGCCCAGCAACAAAACTAAAAGATTAATGTATGGTGTACTTAAAACATCTGACTTGGGGTAATGTCAATCAAGATAATTATTTTGTAAAGGTATAAAAGTCAATCATTAAGCCAGGACTTTATATTAAAAAATGTAATCCTTCACTCCCACTAATAAATCAAGCAAAGATACACACAGATCAATAAATGTAAGAACTAAGTAATCATTCAAATTTTTATTTTAATGAACAGTTAAATGAAAGTTTAAATCAACCAACTTGAATGGAAAATGAAATAGCAAATAAATTAGACCCATGTTAAAACAGAAGGTCAGCTAAATGTCCAAACTTATGGGTTCATATTCCACAGTCTTCTATAAGAGGTTGAAGTCTTTTAAACATAAGATTACCATGAACTGGTCCAGAGATCAACAGCAAATGGGAATGCTTAACAAGGGTGATGATCTGGGACACGTTTCCTATAAGAAAAAGGTACACATTTATAAAAAGTAGCCACATTTTAAAATATAAAAAGTATTTTAACAACAGTTTTTTTTTTTTAAAAAAACACTATATACAACCCCAACAGTTTTGTTACAACCATCTGGAATGTGAAAGCCTGTAGATATTTAGTACTCAACTTTTCATCCAAATAACTTAACAAAGGCCCACACCCCAGAAAAGGCTAATCCTTAAAGGGTCTCAACCATGTAGCCCAGCCTGGACTCACTCGTGACTCTACTGCCTTAGTTTCTCAAGAGCTGGGATTTTAGATGTACAGCATCACATGTGGCTTAATTCTTATAGCTACTTTAAACCAGAAGCTATAAACAAGACACTAGATATTGTAGATAACAAATCAGGATCAAAATAAGTGTTATGGAAAGTTGATGGTTATGAGTAGGAAAATTAACTTTAGTATGCTAATAATAATCCTTCACATCTTTTGTCTCTGGTGACCACTCAATGTGAGGGAACATGAGTGTGTTTTGGAAGAGGAAGGCAAGGGCACTAGAACAATTTCAAACTTTAACACTTCCAACTCTTGAGAAGAGGGTTTGAAAAATA